GGGTCAGGTTGGAAGGGGGAATATATCTTTAGGACTTTCGCTACCACCTTGTACCATCATGTTCTTCCCAGCAGAGAGACTCCCTCCAGACTGGGCAGGGGTGTGGATGGGGCAACAATGGGCAGGGTGGGGGTCTGACTTTGAGGGTTAGCAAGGACAGGGGTGTCAGGAAGTGGACATGTCTGGCGCTGACAGGGAGAAGCAATCCAGGGAGACAGCCTGGTGTTAGGGGGTTAAACTGAGGCCCAGGAAGGAGAGGCAGAGATTTGGCTGATGGGGCAGGGGGTGGTGTGGGGTGGTGTGGTGTCCCTGCCCAGCCCCTCTGCCCCGTCTCCCGCCTGCTTCCCATCCTACTTCCCTCCCTTTTCCTGATTGGATTCCTGATTGGATTCTAAAGGGAGTTAACCTCTCTGGCTTCCTCTGCTCCCATCGTGTTACCAATCGGCACGATTACCTATGAAGCCTCCGGGTCCAGATGTGGCTATGATGCTGGCCCTGGAAAAGAGGCCCTTCTTCCTGGTTTCTCCATTTGCTTTGTTGCAAAGACCTAGTGAGAGACAGAGAGAGAGACTGACCCACGGCCAGACGGTATTGAGAGGAACCCACCCCATTCTCTCTCCTTCAATTCAACTGGCTGGTATTCCTGCCCTTGCTGCGGGTTGGATCTGTGGACTACTCCATGTCTGGGGGTTGGGAGTTGAGTGGAGGGAGAAGACCTTCCTTCCATCACAGAGAGACCACGTGGAGAAATGTTTAGACAACAGCGAGACTCAGCGACCCTCTCCTCACTTGAGAGGGGCTCTGTGCCTTTATGCACAGGCGCGGAGGCGAACTACCCACACCCACACGGGCGGGAGAGCTTCCCTGAACATCAGAGGTGACAGGACCTCAGGACAAAGTACAAGTATTGTGCCTTGGGCCGATCACTGCTTCCTTTGTTTGGGGCCACAGCTGGCTCCTGGCCACCTTTCACGTTCTTTTCCACCCCACCCCTGCCCCTCTCTCCCCTCCCCCCTCACCTGGAACACCTTCCCCTTCCTCCTAGGCGCCTTCTGAACTGCACAGAGCCTTCTGTGGAGGCCTCCTCAGCCCTGAGTGCAGCCGAGGTTGCCCCTGAGGGGACCCAGCAGGACCTCTGTTTGGGCTGCTCTCTGCTCCTTGCCCCATCCCACACCACGTTGTTGGGTGAGCTGGGGTCCCTCTGTGCCCGAGGGATTCTCTGGAGGGACAGTCTGCCCCGATACTCCCTGCCCTGAAGCCACCTATGGAGCGAGGAGAAGTGAAATTAGGTTTGTGGATTAAGCTGTTGGGAAGAGAAGGTGCTATGGAGACATGGTGTGGTCTTATGATTGCCGATTTGTGTTCTTTGTTCTGTGCATTGGGCTTTGGATTCCATGATCATGTGAGCATTGGCTGGGTCCATGATGGTGTACTCTTACCAACGCTTGTGATACCACACTGGGGGACGGGATCCAGAGTCCAGGCCCCTCGTCTAAGTCACCACCAGGTTGTGTGTCTGAAATAAAAGGTGGAGATGGGAGGCCCCCCCTCCCTCTCGCCCCAGTCTAGGGTGCTCAAAAGCCCGCAGGTCAGCCTGCAATTCCGCTTCCCTGTTTCCTCTGGTTCCTTGGGTAGAGCTCACAGAGGAAACCTCGCATAGGACGGTGGAACATACGTTGCTGAATGCCACCAAGAGGATGGTCGGCTCAGGCTGGGGAGAGCGTAAGTGACAATGAATGGCCACACCTCCTTGGAACTTCTCCATCCTCCTTCCAACTTCAGGGCCCTTTATTAAGACCTCCTCTTCAGGCCTCTCCAGAGGCCGGGGAAGCCTGAGATGAGAAGGGATGTGGAAGTGATGCCACCGGGAGTCTCTGTCCTGGGCTCTGCTGGCTCCAGGGTAGGAATGAGGGAGAGGGACTCTGCCAAGGTGCCCATATCTTGTGCTCCGGAGGTTTGAGAGGAGAACCAGCTTGGGCAAGGAGGAAGTTCAGCAGCTTGCCTTCCAGATCCCATGCAGCAGCTTGAGCATGGAGCCTAGGGGAGGAGGCCTGCCTGGGAGGGAGCCCTGAGCCAGCAAATAAATGTTTACTAAAAAGTAAACTGTAAAAAGACCTTGTTCCTGCTGCTGGGAAGCCTGCCAGGTGGTGGAGACTGGCCTGGAGGCATGAATGATGGAAAGAGTAGGACAGAATTGGGGGGCGCCAGCCCCTCTGCTCATAGGGCCCTCAGGACACCACTCCCGTGGAACTGGAATCCTAAAGGGGTAACCGAGCACTCCCTCCAAACCACAGCGCCACGTGCTGAGGTGGGGGGCTGGCTGAGGAACCCTTTGGGATCATTTTGACCAACTTGGGGGAAGTTGCTGCATTCCCATTCTCTCTCAACCCGGCTTCCACTCTCAGCCGAGGTGAGGCGTTCACAGAGGCTGCACCAGCCCTAGGCCAGGCCCTGGCCAGACCTAGATAAATAAGGAGACCAATTGGTCCCTCTCTTCCCACAGGTATCAGAGCCCCCCTTTGTTCCCTGGGGGAGCCTAGGAGCCACTGGGTCAAAGCCCAACCAGGAATTTTTCCAGGTTGGTCCTATATGCAAGGGTGGGGTGGGGGGCCTTGGGGAGCACTTAGAGAAGATAGGGGAGTTGGGAAAGAGCGAGGCTTTGAAGGAATGGAGGGGATGAGAAGAGAGGAGAGAGAAGAGAGGCCAACAACCGGGAGAAGCAGGCAAGGGATGCAGGGGTCTGAGGGTGCAGAGGACAACTCCCCAATTCTTTTCAGAAGAAGAGCTGTGAGCCTGGTTGGGGCTGATGGAAGCCTTGGCCCCCAGCCTGGTGGGAGCTCTGGGCAGCTGGCCTACAGACGTTCCTTAGTGCTGGTGAGTAGGTTTGAATCATCACTCAGGCCCTGGCCTCCATCCGCTCCACCAGCCCCTGGCCTCAGTTCCCTGGCAACATCTGGGCGGGGGGAGCAGAAACAAGGGCCTCTGTCTGCCCAGCTGCCTCTCCCTTTGGGCTCTGCCAGACTCCACCGAGCATACGTGGTCTCCAACAGGTCCTCTTTCCTCTGGGCCACTGACTAACCCCAGAACCACACGCTTTCCATTCTCGGCTCCACAAACTTGGTGCCAAATACTGGACTTCCGGAGGGAAGCCCCCCCTGGATACTTCCCAAAGGAACCCAGTCACCCCAGCCTGCTGGCTGCAGCTCACTCTGATGAGCACATTGTCCAGATGGACACACGGGGCCCTCTGTGCCCGTCACTGGGCTCTCTGCACATGGGACCCCGCGTCCAAAAAATACCACTGTTTGGGAGGCCAGAAATGCAGCGTTCAGGGGTAATCTTTCACTCATCCTGAGGCCCATTCCCTCTTGAGCCAGAGCTGGGGTGTGTCACTAGGGGGCGCTCGGCCACCACAGGGAGGCTGGGTGAACTTGGTAGAGCAGCGTCAGCGGAGAGTGTGAGGACGCGTGAGTGTCAGTGTGAGTGTGGGGAGGGGAACTGAGTGTTGGAGGAGGGTGTTGGAGAGGAGAAGAAGGGCAGGGGTCACCCCAGGATTTCAGGAGGTCTGTGTTTCCCTACCTCCTACCTCCACTCGCCCCTGTCTGATGCCCCCATCCCCACGCCCTCTCCAATATTCCCAGCAAAGGGGGAGAATCGCTTTCTAGTCCTGTTCGCACGTAACCTCACTTTCCTGTTCTCTCCCCGCAGACACCGCGTGTGGGTCTCCGGGCAAAGGGGGGCGGGTGGGTAATTTTCAGGCTGTGAACCGTGGTGGGGGCCGAGCTCTCCCTGCACCGGGGAGGGTGGGGGGCGTCGGCTTCCCTAGGTGTCCGCAGGCGAAGGCTGCGCCAGGGGGCCGAGCCCAACTCAGAGCTGCTGGAGGCGAGTGTCTGCGCCTCGGGGGGCGTGCCAGAGGCGGGGTCGGCGGGCGGGGGCGGAGCCAGGCCTTTTTTTTGGGCGGCTGGTAGCGTTGAGAAGCGCAGAGGCTTGGGGCAGCCAGGCTGCGGGGAGGCCGCGGCGCGGGGGGCTAGAGGAGCCGGCGGCAGCGGCGCTCGGTCGGAAGACGCGGCGACGAGGCAGACGAACCCGCGGAGTCACCAGCCAGGGGTCTCCGCACTGGAATTTGATATTCATTTATCCAGGGTTTACCCTCCTTTTTTTTTTTCTTAAACATTTTTTTTTTAAAACCGTATTCTTTTCAGTTTTAATTTATTTTTGCTTCCCATTCCCCCGCTGAAATCGGGCCGACCGTTTGGGAAGATTGTTCCTTCACGCTCCCCAATCACTCCGGATTTTGGAAACCAGCAGAGAGAAGAAAGAGGTAGCAAGAGCTCCGAAGAGAAGTCGAGGAAGAGAGAGAGAGAGACCGGGTCAGAGAGCGCGCGCGGGCGAGCGAGCCACGAGAGGGACAGGGGCAGAGCGAGTGACCTGCTTTTGGGGGTGACCGCCAGCGCGCGGCCCCGCATCAGAACAGCCGCGCTGACCGACAGACAGACAGACACCGCCCCCCGCCCCAGCGCCCACCTCCTCGGCGGCCGGCGGCCGGCGGTGGACGCGGCGGCGAGCCGCGGGCAGGAGCCGCAGCCCGCGCTCGGAGGCGGGGTGGAGGGGGTCGGGGGCTCGCGGCGTCGTCCTGAAACTTTTCGTCCAACTTCTCGGCTGTTCTCGCTCCGGGAGGAGCCGTTGTTTCGCGCCGGGGCAGCCGAGCCGAGCGGAACCGGGGAGAGTGCTAGCCCGGGCCGGG